GCCAGGGACGGGGTGGCCCTGCGGCCTCCGCTCGCTCCCGGGCGACGGGGAGCGCTCTGCCCCAAGGAAGCGCTGGGGGTTTAGTGGCATCTTAGCACTGGCGTCCTCCAGCGAGGAACCGATCGGGGCACAAACTCCCAACCTGCGTCTCTCTCACAAACGTCCTTTGACTAACAGCGACCCCTCAGCTCCGTAAAGGGGTTACGCAGCCCCAGGTTGGGGCCGTTTGCTCTGTCTTCCTCTCTGGATAATGCAAATCAGGTAAGCCTGGGGTTTTTTTTGCAGTTGTCTTTAGCTGATTCCCTTTACAGGTGCTGGTGTTTTCACGCCAAGATGTGAAATGCTGCAGAGGAAGGGCTTTTTTGGGCGCGCACAAACAAGGAGCTCTTTGGTGACTGTCACTGCCACCTTCGGATGCCACCTGAAAGGTAAGTGGGAGTGTTTTGAACAGAGAAACCGTGTTTTGCTTGTTAAAATTTTGAAATTCTTTAAAAAGCATTGCCTCGTTTTAGGAAGGGGGTTAGGAGAGGGGTGGTTGCATTTGCCCTCCCGCTCCGCTAGCAGAAGGGAGCGAGGCCATGGTGCGCGGCGATACCTCCGCGAGGTTTGGGCTTTGCCTCGAGGCAAACGGTGCTGCCGTGAGGTTTGCTAATGATGAGACGGATACAGGGCAAACTCACCAGCAGCTCGCTGCCCTCCCAACGATCCTCCTTGCCTGACCAGCAGGCTGCTGCACCAAGGAGCATCCAAATCATTCAAACGGGGCAGATCTGACAGTCACATGGCATTGCATGAGCATACACGTGCCGTCGTGGCTTTTAAAAATTAGATGATGATGATGAAAATTGACATTGAAATAGCTAATTAAAAGTGCCAGAAGCATTGCAACAAGGAAGGACAGACTGGTCTTCCCTGGCATGTATTCTTTTAGCCCCTGTTTTTGGGATGTGCGTATGCGTTAACTGACAGAGAATCATGGATCTGCAGGAGGATTTAGAGTATTCAAATCAAGCGGCTGCCAAGCCTGTGCAGACTGTGTGCTCGCCTCATAATAACTGAAACAGAAGAAGAAACATGTCGCTTGCAGATACGAAAAGGGCAGGCCCGCTGACCTGAGAGCGTCAGAGCCATACCTACGATGGCTGGCAAGGCCGTTCCCAGAGACTCCCTCCATTAAGAGACCTTTGTAGCAGGGAGAATGCTTTACAGACGTGAGCCTTCACTCCCTGATGGAGCTGAGAACTGCAGGTGGAGAAGAGAGGAGCAACAGCTGTAAGATCATCCAGATGTTTTGTTAAGTGGTACATATCATGAGACTTATACTTTATCACTGAGCAAGATGTAAGACTCTTTAGAGATGTTTTGTAAATGTGAAGCCTTGCCTTTTATTTCAGGTAGAAACATTCTGTCTCAGAAGGTAATAGATTTGTGTATGCCATGAAGGCAGTCTACTTTGAAAAGAATTAAGAGAGAGAGACATGATGGAGGAAGGTACAAAGTCGTTTCTGCCTAATTGCATGTAACAGAGGCTCCTCGAGCTGTCTGTGTACACACTTTCCTTTGGGGGGTGACATCTCCCATTCAAAAACTGGCACCCACAGCTGTGATCATGAGAAATGTTCTGGATAGCATCTCAGCACTGTACAAGCTATTCGATCAAGAGGAAAAAAAGTGTAGCTGTTTGAGCACAAATGACTGAAAATTGGAATAAGTCTTCATGAGAAGCGAAAAATACAGCATTAGGATGTATAAATATTATACTTTTTGATCTAGCTCTCTGCAAAAACACACGTGTATGTTCTCTCATGACATGCAGTTCCCCAACAAAAGGAAACCTGTCTCCTACTCATTAATGGTAAAACAACCGATTTATCTTAGGAGATATTCAACAATTCTTGGTGCATACAAAAGATATGAGGCAAAAAGAAACAGACTTTTCTGCCAGCTGAAACCTTGCGACGGTCTCCTGGTGCCCTCTGCTGTCCACTTTTTTCGTTCCAGAAAATGCAGTTTTGATATTTTGACATGCTCATTGTTTTTATGAGTTAATAGGCTGGCATCCTGACCTGATTTTCAGTGATAAGGCTAAATGACTTTGCTTTATTGCTGTTATTTGAGCTAAAATAGCAGCTTGCTGAAGGCAATTATCTTCAGGTTCTCTAGTTTGGTTTAAGAAGCATAGCTTAGACCATGTGGGGAAAACACAGGCTATTTCTGAAAATAGTTATAGTATTTGCCTTGGACATGATGGGTAAAAATTGTAACCTAAAAACATGTAGAAGCAGATGTTTGAGCTATGAAGGAAAATTAATTCCCCTATGATACAACTACTGAGAACTTTAACTTGTTACTTTGTAACTTATTCTACCTTTGTCCTCAAACCTTGTGACAGGTATTTTCTCCCATTTCCAAACACTCTGCTGCTCTGTAATTGACGTTATAGAAACATACAAGTAAAACTTCCCTTTTCATTCGTTTTATGTTTCCATGTCATTCCTCTCTCCTCCCACCCCTGACTGGAACGATCACGCAGTGCAATTTAGCGAGGGAACCTGCATAAATCCTCTTTATCTAGTCAATGTCTAATGCTCGTTTATCTTTGTTCCTGCAGGAGAGACATCACGTTGTGCTGGGAACTCATTAGCGGGGCTAAGTCTAACCAGCACTTGAACAGAGGCTCCAGAGCACAAGGAATGGAGAAAAGGTGAGGAAAACTGCTTTATAGTAAGGTGGAACAGGAAAAACAACTGCTTATTAATGCTGCTTTCTGGATGTAGCTTGGCATTTGCACGTCGCATAGGTCACTGATCAGAGGCACCTCGATGCAGAAAAACACCAGCTCCCATGCGGTGGGAGGGCTGACAGGACACGTTATGTTGTTGCAAGTAGCGACTGTCAAAAGAGGTTAGAGTAAAATTCTCACTTTTCGCAGCCACTTTTGTAGTATGTGTTAAGTCCCTGCGGCATTTTTGACAAGCGAAAGAATGTCTTCCCTAGGCAAATACTGTTTCTTCAATATTATAAAAACAGTTACAGGCATTCATTCTGTAGTTTGTGTGCCTAGCTCATAAATACACAGAGTACACCCTGCCTAACGGGATTCACCCTGTAGCAGTTACTTTCCACATGTGCACTTCTGAAAAAAAAAACACCAAACACATTATTTTCATACCTGTAATTTGATTCTGCATACACTAAAGGAAATCTGAAAAACACTATTGGGATTATTTAGAAGTGTTATATGGATTATATAAGCTTGTCTGATCTTCAGAGAACAGGTAATTATATTTTAGAATTAAATGATAAAACATTCAGATGTTTCTTAAATAAGTTTCTAGAGGCTTCGCATGACAGCCAGCAAATAACTAGTATTGCCAGATTGTGTCTAAAGCTTTTGCATTTAATTTCATCCTGTGGAAGTATTCTTAGTTTCATAACATAACATTCGCATAAGGCAACTTGACCTCCAGTGAATGTCCCTATCCTGCCACTAAATACATACATTTTGGATATATATTTCATCAAACATTTTATTTACAATGTTATTTTAAAAGTATTTTTAACACTCATTCCTTAGGTAACCATTAAAAAAAATAGCATTGCTTCATAAAACAATTGTTCTTCATTATATTGCTACCATGTATATTACTGAAATATGCTGGATCTCCTGGTGAAGCGTTTTATTACTCTTTGGAAAGAGATTATATTTGGCAGCAGCTTTCATACAGTATTCCCCCCCCCCTGCCCCCCCGCAGTTAGAGAGTTATACTCTTACAATTGATTTTATGAACAAAAATGAAGAGGAGAAATCAGGTTACAAAATCTTAACAGCAGGTGAATTTAAGTAGCTGGTATCTCCAGAGGGCTTATGGCAAGTCTCCTTTTTGCTTCACAGATATGATTTTCTCCATATGCCATTCATTTTGGCTAAATGGTTTTGTCATCAGTCAACCATCACTTAATTTCAGCTACAGAAGCCTAAACAAAGAAGAAAATGTTCTCACTGTAATGAATCTCCTGTTGAGAACCTACATTAGCTAGTAAATGGTTATTTTCCCTGTTCATTTTAATGAATTATTCATACACCAAAAAAAAACCTTTTTCAGGAATAAAGACTTTAAAATATTAAAATCAGCAAGAGAGCTCAATCTTTAATCTACCAGTGCACAAATCCTGAAGAGCAGCATGCAAAACAAGTGATGCATATTTGAACCGTGTAGATGCTGAAGTGTTTGATAAATAATGAAGGCCTTCGTATTCTTAACATTCTTGATCAGAGGTTTTTACGCTACTTTTTCCAATTCCTTATTTCTAGAAAAGTTACCAAGTTTTGAGGACTGCAATGAATATGCTGTGAATGTGAATGTCTGTGACACTTACACAGCCATTACTTTGTCCTGAAGACCAGGTGGCAATAGATTGTTTCATTCCACATTGACAAACACTTGCCTGTAGTTCTACTTTTAGCTAAATGTTCATGGGTTTTATTGAAGCTATCATCTTAGCTTCTTAATCAGTGGTAGATTTTGTAAACGCTATTCTCTACAATTAAAGAAATTGTGATTGCTTGATTTTTTGCAACAAAATTCAAGTCAATGGTACAAAATGAAGCTGCACTTTCTCAGTTAAAGATTATCTGCAGCAGAGATTATAATTGTTCTACTCTACAAACTTTAAGTTAGACAATATTAGATAACCTGCAAGTCATAGACTAAGCTGTTTCTTAAACAAGAAAGCAATCTAATTTTTACTTGCTCCTCTATTTTTCTCAGCTTCTGAAGTTGAGCTCTAGCCTCCATATAGGCTAACATTCACTGAACAAGTCTAGAGTTCAACATTAGATATTCATTTCCTCTGTAAGGCTTGCAGAGCGGCCACGGAGTCTTACCTTTCTGCAATTGCACATCAAAAAGTCAATATATGTTTAAATATACTGGCTATACTAAACTGATTCTATATGAACTCTTTAGATGTTTGGGAAGAAGTAATTGAAAAATGTGTTTTATGCTTTTAGTACATTGTTTTATTGCAATAACTCCTAAATTACACATAAGTTTAATGTATTTCAAACATCTGTGCTTACTAAAGTACAAACGGGTGTTAACACTTTATGACAAAGAAGCGCAATCTGTACAGGTGATTCAAAGCCTCCTGAGGCCTTTGAAAAGATTTACACCTACTGTGTAGAACTTGACAAAGCACAGATAGAATAAGCTCAATTAAGTGACTTCAAAGAACTCATCAGTCAGTCTTCACAACATTCATACAGGAAAATCTGATTAAACATGCACAAAATTAGCTTTGCTATTTAGTAGAAAAAGGACACTGGACAACAAAAATAAAGCCTTGTAAGATAAAGTAAGGAAAGTGATCAAGTTGAAGTGATCGAATTGTTCATTTCCTCCAGGTGCTTTCTGATTTTAAATCTTTTGAGCAGCACACTATCCTCACTCGAAGAAAACAGTCTACCTCTTTACAAAACATATTAAGTGGTAATAAACCCTTAAATCTCAGAAACTGCTCAAAGTGACAAAAGTTAATATTGATGCAAACAAGTCTGTTCCTCCTCAGAGCATTTACAAGCGTCACTACCTTATTCTTCTCTATGGGCTTCCTACTTGTTGACTTTCAAAACACAGCGAACAGGCACCTTGGCCTTAAAGAAAAACAGCCTTTGTAACGCAGCTGCTTCAGAAGATCAGTACAAAATCTTGATGTCATCACTGACAAAAGCACACACTTCATTACCTGAACTGGTATCAGTCTGGGAACTCACTTAGACATTCTTCAGTGTGCTTTGTTAACCTTAAGATACACAAATGCTATATGCTGTGTTCAAAGGTAACTTTCCTGAGGTCAGGAAACTACCTTCAGTCAGGTTATCCAACACAAATTGTATTCCTGATCACCACTTTCATTATACTTTTCCTAGAAAATGAAGGCTTTTTCCTCTCCCTGCTTCCTAATTAAGTTGAGGCAAACTGATACACTTCAACAAAATTCAGTGCAAGAGCTCGACCAGCTTTCAGCCTACTCCTGGCAGGATTAGAAGTGCAGGGGCTAGAGAAGATACTTCTGGAAAGGCAGGCCTCTTTATCATTTTAAGTGAGCTGATTAATGGCTTTTTTGATGCTTTTCATAATTTCCATTAAGCTAACTGACCACTCTTCTGCAGTTTTTTGCTTTTCTTTTCAACATCTTTTAATACCCCTTGGAGCTTCTTAGAGTTCTGGGTCAGGAATGCAAAGCTTTCTTGGAAGTTGCTGGTCCCGTGTGCTCTACAGATGTTCTCAAGCCCATCAAACCACTGCAAAATTTTTTCAAGTTCAGCCTGAACAGTCTTCTGTTCTTCCAGTTCCGCTAGAAGCGCCTGCCCCGCAGACGCCTCGGCCCTGTACTGCTGCTGCAGTTCACTGATCTCATCCTGCAGCGCCTGGAACTGTTCTTTAGTGTACGGGTACTGCTCGTGCACCTTGTCCTCAGGAAGGAGCACGTTCTTCGGGATGTTCAACACCAGCTGCAAAAGCACTTCTTCCATTTTACTGAAGAGCTGATCAAAGCGCTCCTTCATGAAGAGAAGAAATTTCTCCGTGCTCTCCCGGATTTGGAACGGGCTGATTTTAGCGTTGGGAAACCCATCCAATTTCTTCAGGATGACGCTCTCAACCACCAGCATCATCTCGAAGAGGTAGTCCTGGAAGGCGATGTAGACACGAAGCATGCACGTCTGGGGGGTGAAGCCGAAAAACTGCGCCTCGTAGGCCATGGGGTTGACCGACATCTTGGCGAAGGGGCCTCGAGGGCCCGCACCGGGAGGGCAGCGAGGGGGCGCCGCCGGC